CTGATCATGCGCTTCTTGAAGCCTGTCATAGTCCGTCTGGACGCTGCACGCGCGCGCCTCTGTCTGTTCGTGTCCTGTGGACGTAAGTGAATAAACGTCATGCGAGTGTGAGTCACTGGACGCTTGATCAACTACTTGGCCAATAGAAGTTTGCGGCACCTGTGATTGGCCGGTCCACAAGGAGGTAGAGTAGTGAAGTCACGTGTGCTTTGCGGGCTTGGCGCGAGTGCTACAAGGCCACCGCCTCATCCTACGCCAACACCGGAGGGTCAGATAGCCGAGCAATCATCACGCCCGAGTCCACCATGCGTGATGAAAGTTCAATAGGTCAGAGCCCGCATGCCGTCCAGCAAACTACCCTCGCGTATGAAGGCAATTAACGTTAATTGTCGCTGTATGTTTGCAGTTATGGCTGTATCCTATAAATACTGCAAACTCCTGTGTCTGTATTACCCGTTTCTGCTACCGTTTTCTGCTAATGGTTCTGATGATGAATCCGCGACGCATGTCGAAACGTCAGGCGAATAAAAGTATTGTCGACTTCTTCTCAATAGTTAAATATTTCCAGCTTATCTCTGCCCCCAGCTCTGAATTATCTCACCTAAAAGCACATGTTACTCAACTGGTAGCGACTGTTGCTACTATTTGGTTACGAGATTTCACTCGTCATTCCCAGCTTTCCGGCGGCCGCAATCGACCTCCTTCGATCAGTCGCGACTGGCGTCTGTCCCACTATCGTCCGAGGGCGGGTGATCTTTCTTGGCATCATGCCAATTTTGGCACTAGAGCAATGCACTGCCTTTCACCTTGTTCGTTCAAATCCTAATCAGTTAGCCCCTCGGCCGGCGGGTAAATGCGGTCGAACTCTCGGGCAACTCTTTGGTAGTACATATTACGTCTGCGACAGCAAAATTGGCAGACGTTTCTTGGTTGACGCTGGTGCTCAACTGAGTGTCATCCCTCCTTCACCAGCCGTCTGTCGTTGCCCCAATCGTGGATTTGTCCTGCCAGCTGCAAACTGCTGCCCTACCACTGCTTTTGGACTTCGTTGTCCTTCCCTTGATATTGGTCCCAGCCGACTCTTTCCTTCCATATTCATGGTTGCTGATGTTCCGACCGCTCTCCTGGGCGCAGACTTTTGAGTCGCTTTGGACCATCTAGTTGACTGCAGGCAAAGTTGCCTCCATGATCATGTCACTTCTCTCTCTGCGAGTTAAAGTTT